CTGCCGGGGCTCCCAGTCCCAGAGCTCCCCGGACCCTGCCGAGATCACACCGAGCGGGGCTGGGGACACCGGGGACGAGAATCCCGATCCCAGTCGGGCACAGGGGCTGAATCCCGATCCCAGTCGGGCACAGGGGCTGAATCCCGATCCCAGTCGGGCACAGGGGCTGAATCCCGATCCCAGTCGGGCACAGGGGCTGAATCCCAGCCCCAGGAGGGTTTAGTGGGGTGAACCCAAATCCCAGCCGCGCACAGAGAGGATGCATCGGGATCCCAGCTGGGATCAGGGGGGTGAATCCCAGCACCGGGATGGCCGCAGGACACAGGCAGAACTGTTCCACCTCCCGTGTGGAGAAAGGCTGGGAATGAGGGAGGAAAAGGTGCCTTAAAGCTGAGCCGGCCACCATTCCCAGGGCGGAATTCCCAGCGGACACAACTCCCGTTCCGTGCCAGGTGAGGAGGAGCCGCGGCCCCCCCGGCCCTGCAGGGCGAGCTCTGCTCACCTGGGCAGGCTCAGCTCCCCCGGGCGGGGCCGGGCTCAGGTGTTCCCATTCCTGCCCGGATTGGGCCGGGAGAGCCAAACCTGGCCTTATACGGGCACAGAGCAGCTCTGGCCGCTCCCCCGGGCCGGGCTGGGCTGATCTCTCTCCCTCCCCTCCCTGGACACAATCCAGGGATTTGTTTGCAGCCAGCCCGGGGAGTTGGGGCACCCAGGGTGGGGCTGGAGATCCCCTCGAGCCTGGGGAGAGGGACAGGGACAAATCCCTGCTGAACCCTTCCCTACTCTATCCTGGGGCATTGCATTAGGAAAATGAAATTATCTCCCCTGAATTCCATCCTGCCTGAGGCTGCAGGTGAAAAAACTGGGAAACTGAGGCAAGGTTTGGCCTAGGATGGTGCAGGAAAGGGAAATCCAACCCTTGTCTTTTTCCCAAAGTGGGGGAATTCTTTTTCCCCAATGGCTTCTTTCTTGGGGTGAGCCACTTACATCCCTGCAAATGATTGTGCCAGGCCAGGAGAGGGCCTGGAGCATCCATCTTCCTCCTTCTGCTCCACTGGAGTCACTCCAGGCGTTGGCTGGAACTGGGGAGTTTCTGTGGGAGAACTGGGATGGGTGGATTAAACTGGATTTGGAACTGGAGTGGGAGCCCCAGGCCATCAGTTCCCCATTCCAGGATATTTCCATCTCCCTTCCCACACATTTAACCCCATGGCACACACTGGGGGATTTTGGCTCCCCACTGGTGCTGAGCAGGAACTTGGCTGGTGCCAGATTTCTCCAGGCTCCATGGTCTGGGAAAAGGCCTGGGTGCATCCCTAAATCCACTGGGAAGGAAGGAGAGGTGGAAGAGCCAGGAATGTTCCCACCTGCAGCTGTTTCCTGGGGAGCAGAGGGGCTGAGAGTTGAGATTCCAGATGGGAAAAGGGTTGATCCCCTGATAAAGATGTTTTGGGTGTGTTCCTGGAGGATTTGGCCCTTAGAGGATAAAGAAGTGGTGTCAGAAAGGATCCAGGGATATTTCAGAGGGACTGGCAGCACAAGCACACAGAGACTGCTGGCACTTGACCCCAGGGAGCGGAAGGTGACAGATTCATTGCTGGTCCAGGTGTGAAGGGATGAGTTCCTCTCCTTGGGAGCTGTTCCACCTTCCCAGAGTGATTCTAGGTGTGTGTGGGCTCTGGAGGAAGCGGGGGGGAATGAATCTGGGAGCAATGGAACAGCCAGGCTGGATCCCAGGAGTCATTCCCACCTGGATGGGAGTTCTGGCTGGATGAGAAACACCCTTTTTTATGATCATAGAATCACGGAATGGTTCAGGTGGGAAGAGACCTTAAAGCCCATCCAGTGGGCAGGTCCCATCATCCCAGGGTGCTCCAAACCCCGTCCAACCTGGCCAGGGATGGGGCAGCCACAGCTGCTCTGGGCAGCAGGATCCCTTTGGGATCCCCTCCGTGGGAGCTGTTTCCCTTTCTCTGCCGGCTGGGCCTGTGCATATGAGCCGGGAATTGTTGGGGATTTGGTGAGGCGCTGCAGCAGCACCACCTGCCCGGCAGGGGGAGCCCGGAGCCCGTTCCCAGCAGCTCCAGGTGTGCCGATCCTGGGATGCGCTCCGGGAGCCGCTTCCCTCCGTGCTCCGGGCTCCGGTCCTGTGCAGCCGGGACCGATTCCCTGCTGCTCTTCCCGAAATCCCCGCAGGCCCCGTTTCCAGAACTCCGGGATCTGCCCCGGGATGTGTCACGTCCGAGACCTCCAGGACTTTCGACGTGTATCATCCTTGGGAGCGGCTGGAGCTGATACGGCGTCGCCTGGAGGAGGCTGTGGATTCCTGAGTGGCCTGGCAGATAAGAGGGATAAATATCCCCTGACCCCACAGACCCCCTCAGCAGCTCCCAAATCCCCATGGGGGACGTGCCCTGGGGTTACTGATTGAAGGGGATCACTGGAATCAGCCATAAAACACCATTATTGAGCCATAAACAGGGGAATGCTGTTAATTATGCAATTTATTCCCTTTTATTAGTTAATTACCCTCCCTAACCCTGGTTTTCCCAGCAATCCTTAGCCCCTGATCCATTTTTTACATGGATCTGTGAAGGTCAGTGATGCCTCAAGCCCCCCCAGCAGATTCTAACCATCACACAACCATCCCTTTTTCCATAAAACCTGAACTTTTCTATCAGCCTCCCCCCCGCCCAAATTCAGGATCCTTTGAGTTCTTATGAATGTTTAGGAATCAGCCAGGTGGGATTTTGTGGCATTTTGAGCCAAAAACAGGTTTGTGATGATCCTGGCACTTTCTGGGACTGCCTTTCACCGCTGCATCCTTCTCTGTTTCCCCCATTTTTCCACATTCTATCCCTAAACAAAGGAAAATCCTTTTTTAGTGTATATTATTCTGTATTGACAGCACTGATCTAGACAACAGGGGGGGTGCAGCCAGGACTTTTTTTTAAGGGCTGGGATAGGGATTGCTGATGGTGCTGCCTGGAACCTGCAGCAATTCCCTGGGGAAATTACAGCTGGAATTTGGGCTGGTTGTGACTCTGGGATAATAACAGCAACAGGAATTTGCCCTGAGGAAGAGGCTGGGCCCTGATGAGGGAGGGATGGTGGAGGGGGCAGGATGTGTGTCCCAAAGCCATGGATCATCCCAGGCAGAGCTCAGGTCCCGTTAAAGGGGGCAGGAATTCTGCTGGATGGACCCATTCCCTGGTGCCCTTGGGAACTGGTCAGTGGGAATTGAGGCTGGGAGCAGTGGGACAGGGGAATGCTGGGTTGGGTCTGTCCCTCCTGTGTCCCAGAATGGAGACCTGAGTCCAGGAATGTGACAAAAATCCCAGGTCTCAGACCTTTAATCCCTTGCTGTGGCCTCAGGGATCTCTCCCAATTTCATGGCTGCTGAAGGCTCAGAAACAGCAAAACTATCCCCAAAATCCAATGTCAGGGAGGAAAAGCAGTGGGAAAGTCTCAGCTGAGCCCCCCAGCCTCCAGATCCCCCAGTTTGGGCTCCCATTCCAGCCTTATCCTGGACAACAGGAGCCCTGTTCCTGCTCCTGTCCTGGGAATGGGGCTGCTCTGAGCACAGACCCCGCTTTGTTCCTTAGCCTGGGAAGGGCTTTTCCCAAGGGCACTGTGGGCTCCTGGCTCCAGAGACAGCCCTGCACTAACCCTGCCCAACTGGGAGCAACTGGGAACTGCTCAGAGCCCCCTCTTCCCCATCCTGCCAGCAAACTGGATTTAACTCTCCTCTGCTCTGGAATGTCCTTCCCATCCTCTGTCTCCCATCCCCTGCCCTGGGCCTGGAGAGCTGCTCCCAAATTTTGGTCCTCCAGCACCTTGGGGGCCCTGGGCTGCTTTGGATCTCCCAGGGAAGTTCCCCAGGGGAACAGGGAGCATCTGTGATCCAAAAGGGCACCTCTGGAATGAAGGGCTGCAGGGAAATGCAGGTGCCCAGGATGAACCTGGCCCAGGTGTGCAGGAATTCCCCTTTGGAGAGGAGCAGGAGGAGTTTGGGATGGGGAAGCTGACCATGGAAAGGCAGAGTGTCTCCCAGGTGAGCAGTAAACAGCAAAGCTGCTCCCAGATTTGGGTCCTCCATCACCCCAGGGAACCTGGTCTGCTTTGGATGTCCCAGGGAAGTCCCTCTGGGGATAAAGGAGCACCAGAAGGACTCCTCTGGAATGAGGGGCTGCAGGGAAATTGGGTGCCCAGGTGTGCAGGAATTCCCCTTTGCAGAGGGGCAGGAGGAGTTTGGGAAGGGGAAGCTGAGCAGTGCTGAGTTGTTCCCCTCATTCCCAAAATTGGTCCCCAAGGCCTTGCATCCCGCACCGTGTCTGCCCCTCTGGCCCCGTGTTCTTCATCCCAGGGCTGTGCCCAAGTCAGTCCCAAGGAAGCAATTCCAGCCTTGCCTGGCTGCCAGAACTCAGCCACAGCCCCCAGGTGAGTCCTGCTGTTGCTCCAGGTGCCAGTGGTGGGAAGCTAGGAGAAAACCAAGGACAGGATGGGTTCTGAGTAACAGAACTTTATTGTAACAGCCAAACCCCGTGAGCCAGAGCTGTGCTTCCTTTCCTGTGGGGATGTGGGAATGGGGACCCAGAATCTGGGAATTTTGGAGGGGGGTGATGAGTGGCAGCAACTGGAGTCAGGAATACTGCAGGATTCAGGGTGAGGTTGGAAAGAGGCTGCAGGGATGGCTGTGCCAAGGCCACAGCATCCCCCACCTGCGGCCACATGGCACTTCCAGGGCTGGCTCCAAGAGTCTGGAGCATCAGGACTGGGATTGGCCAATAGGGGCAGCCGGGTCAGGTACAAGCTGAGGTCAATAAATACAAAGGCAAGGGAGATCTCCAGCCTTAGGCTGAAAGAGGGAAGATTTGGATTTGATTTTAGGAAGGAAATTCTTCCCTTTGCAGGTGATGAGGCCCTGGAATGGATTTCCCAGAGCAGCTGTGGCTGTCCCTGGATCGCTGGAAGTGTCCAAGGCCAGGCTGGACAGGACTTGGAGCAACCTGGGATATCCACCCCATGGCCGGGGTGGGAATGGGATGAGCTTTGAGGTCCCTCCCAACCCAAACCAGGATGTTCCCAGTGCAGTTAAATAGGAACCAATACCCCAATCTTAGGAGCTGGAATTGCTGTGTGGAGCCTGGAGAGAGGGAGAATAGGAAGGGCTTATGGAAATCAAGAGGTTGGAATGGAATGGAATGAGGGCCCCCCCAAAGGGAGAGAAATGCCCTGAGGTGGCCAAGGGTCCCCCAGTGTGTCACCAGATCTGTCAATCCAGGTGACAAATCCATCCCTGGCATTGTTTTCCTCTCTCTCCCCAGTGTGGAAACCTGGATGGTGTTTTCCTTGGAAGCCCCATTGGGGATCACCCTTGGAGCAGGGAAAAGGTTTGGCAACACCAGTAAAGGGACCAATGGCAGCTGCTAAAACTGGGGTAGGGACATTTCCCTCCTGCTGGGCACATTCCAAGGGGTGACTGCAAATCCCCTGGGAAGGGAGCCCTGGAGAGGAAGGTGAAGGGAATGGGAGAATCCCTAAAGTCCTGGGCTGGTTCCTGCTGTAACTGGGAATGGAGCTGTGAACTGCAATGGTGGGAAGACAGGGGACAGCCTGGACAGGATCCTCATCCTTCATCCCTTGGATGTGGGCTGGAGTTCAGGAGGAAGAGCTTCCCAGGTGCCTTGGATCCGTGTTCATCCCATTCTACGAACATTCCTCGGGGGCTTCGGAGCTGAGCTTGGGCTGGGTCCCGGTGTCTGGAATCCCCAGCACGTCCTGGGCTCTCCTGGTGCTGCCTCCGCTTAGCTCCGTGTCCCCTGAGCCCCGGGCAAACAGCCGTGAATTCCGCAGGGTGCTGGCAGAAACTGGGAGAAGGGGGAAGGTTAAACCCCTTCCATCCATTCCCTGATTTCCTGGATTGGAGGGATCAAAGCACTTACGGGGCTTCGGGCAGGAGTGGACAGCGCTGATGACAGTGGGAATGGGCTGCTCCATGCTGGGAAGGGAAGGACACAGTGTGAGCACATGGCTTCAGCTCTCCCAGAGCAAAGGGTGCAAAGGGCTGGGTGGAATTTGGCCTGGGGGAGTTGGGATAGTGGTAGGACCAAGGGTGTGGTTGGACCAGGAAGGGCTTCAACAGCCCCTGGGTGAAGCACCTGGAGAAGGTCTGGAATCTCAGCCTGGGGAGTCTGAGGAAGACTTGGGAGCAAGAAATGGGATCGAACTGCTGGGAACCACCAGGATTTGTTCCTTCTTTGACCAAACCTTCAGTACCTGACTCAGAATTTGGGATTTGGGCAAGCTGAGCTTTGGGAGGTGTCCCTGCTGCCTGTGGAAGGTGACCCTACCTGTGGCAGGGGGTGGGACTGGGTGGACCATCCCAAAGCATTCCATGATTCTATGACGTCTCCATCCCCCCAGGTATCCTGGTGCATCCCTTCCCCACCTGAGATGAAGGAATCCTGGCTCACCTGTTCTCCTCCCCTTCCATGAGCTTCCTGTAGGTGAGGATCTCCACATCCAGGGCCAGTTTGATGTTCATGAGCTCCTGGTACTCCCGGACCAGGTGAGCCATGTGCTCCCGGCTGCGCTGCAGGGCCTCCTCCAGCCCGGCCACCTTGGCCTTGGCGTCCCTGAGGGTCCCCTCCCCCTGCTCGCCAGCCTCACGGATGTGTTCCTCCAGGTACAGGCACTGGAGTGTGGGAAAGGGAGCTGAGGGGGCTTGGGGGAGGGAATTCCTCACCTGTCCCGTTATTCCCACCCCAGCATACACCCATCCAGTTGTTCCCCCCAGGACACATCTGTCCCATTATCCCACCCCAGGACACACCTGGCTCTTCTGGGACACGATGCAGGACCGGAGTTTCTGGATCTGGATGTTCAGATCTGCGATTTCCCGACGGCTGTCGAGGAGGTGCCCCCCAAAGGAGCCAGACTGGGAGCTGCTGTCGGTGAGCTGCGGGGAGAGGGGCAGGGGTGCCCTGGGATCACCTGGATTACTTGGGGAAAGATTTGGGGCTCATTCCCACCCTCTCTGGCTGTGGCTGTGCTAGGCTTATCTGGCTCCTGGGTTCAGTCACATTCTTGCTGTTTGGAGAGCTGGAAGGACATTTCCATCTCCACTGGCAGATGTCCTGGGTTCCTCCAGTGTGGAAAGCCCAGAGTAACAGAACTCTGGATTTATTGTCCAGAGCTGATCTGGAATAGTGCTCAGTCTCTCCCTCCATTCCCAGGGCCAGCCCATCCCTCCCATCCTGCTGATCCAGCTGTTTCCAGGCCAATCCCTCCTGTCCTTTCCCTGTCTCTCCTGGCATGGAGCAGGGATCTGGTACCTTCCTCCGGGTGAGGGCCTCAGCCTCTTCCCAGCTCCGCAGGGCCAGGAATTCATACTGGGCCCTGACGTCCTCCACAATCCTGCCCAGGTCTGGCCGGGAGCAGCTGTCGATTCCCAGCACCACAGAAATGTCCTTGATTTCCGTCAGCAGCTCCTCCAGTTCCTGCAGAGCCAAGGGACAACAGGAAAAAGAACACGGAGCTGGAAAGTCACGGAATGGTTTGGGTGGGAAGGAACCTCAAAGATCATCCCATTCCACCCCTGCCATGGGCAGGGACACCTCCCACTGTCCCTGGCTGCTCCAATCCTCATCCAGCATGGCCTTGGACAATTCCAGGGATGGGGCAGCCCCAGCTCCTCTGGGAAATCCATTCCAGGGCCTGCCCACCCTCACAGGGAAGAATTTCCCTGTATCTGGTCATATCCAAGATTCCCAGTAGTCAGAGAAGGCTGGACCCTCCAGGTGGGCTGTGCTTGGCAGAACAGCTTCCATGTGGAGATGGGGAGAATTCCTAAGTTTTCACTCTCTGGAGCTGGGGATCTGGTATTATTTGTTCCATAAAATCCAGACTCAGGTTAAGTTGGGTTTTAGGATCTTTGGATACAATCTGGTAAAAATCTGACAAAATAGTGCCTTTGGACTACTCCAGGAGTAGGGAGAATCCTGGGATCCTTAAGGCTGAAAATCTCTTAGGATCTCCAGATTCCAACTGTTTCTCAGTAGTGCCAAGGCCACCCCTGACTGTGTCTCCAAGTGGCACAGCCACACATTCCTCAGGCACTTCCAGTGACGGGGACTCCACCCTTGCTCTGGGCAGCTATGCCAGGGCCAAGACAACCCTTTCCAGGGAGGAATTTTCCCTAATATCCAACCTAAACCTCCCCTGGTGCTCCCTCCTGTCCAGTCAGCTGTTCCCCAGGAGCAGAGCTGGAGATCAATATTCATCCATGGCCCAATACCCATCAATATCCATGACAGATGTGAGTTTTGGGAAAACAAAGGCAGGATCGTTCCACAGCCTGGGGAGGCTGGAAAATGCCCTTTCCAAGCTCTGCTGTGGTATCCAGCGAGGCTGTGGCTGCTCTTTGGGCTGCCAGAGGCTGATTTACAGCTCCTCAGGGAACCAGGAGCTTTCCCTGGACATAGCCACAGCTGGCAGTTTCTCCACTCCTCTATCCTGGGAATGTCAGCACGGGGGAGACAGGAACACCCCTGGGATCACCCACTGGGATATTTGCTCTGGGTAAGTCACAGCTGGAGAAAACAGCCCAGAGTGGAGAATTCCCTGCCCTGAGCCTGGAAGGGCCCCTGGATCCAGGTTTGGATCCAGGCTTGCTCCAAAGTGGCTGCTCCCTTATCTCAGGCACAGTTCCTGCCTTGCACCAGGAATTCCTTCTCTTCCTCCCTTTCCATTCTTCCCATTGTGCTCAGCTCCCTTTGGAGCAAGAATTGTGTTCCTTTCTTCCCTTCCCTTCCTGGCTGGTCTCACAAAGGGCTCCATGGCTCAGGGATAAAACAGAAATATCCCCCAAAAGCAGGATGACTGGGATACTTTATCCCACTGGTGTTTAATCTGTGAGTTTGTTAATCTTGGAGCAGGTGAGAAAATTTGTGTTTATTTGGAGTATCGGATCATTTGGTGAATAAAACCCCCAAACTGGTCATTTGTTAATGAGAAATCAGGATGGGATTTTCTCCTGATTCATCCCAACAAGCAAAGTTTTCCTCATTTTCCCTCCCCCTGGGAATGTGCCTAATGCCATCAAATCCACAGAGTAGGTGAGACAGGAGAGGTTGGGGATGCCATTGTTACATGAATTGGGGGTTAAAAAACACAGCTTTTTGTGGGACCCATGGGAAATCAGCTGGAGATCCAGGAGCAGGGCCTGATTTCCAAAAAAACTGGGCTAAAATTGCCTTACTTAAGGAATAATCTCATTTTAGAGCAGATCAGGCTCCCTGGGCAGTTGTGCTTGGAGGCAGCTCTGGCCTTTCCATGCCTCAGTTTCCCACAAGGAATGTTCATATTCCTCCATCAGGCATTGTAATTGTTTGCATTGCTGGAATTTAGATAAATCCTGAGTGCTCCCACACTGCTGATCCTGCTGGGTGACATTTTCCAGGCCCTGAGTCAGTGCCTGTGATCAGTTCTGATGGAGGCCCTTCCCCCCTGGCTGGAATCGTTCCTGACTGGGGACCCCTCATTTTCCTGGGAAAGGAGGAGGCTGAACTGTGTTTCAGAGCACCCAGGTTCTCCAGGTGTCCTGGTTTTGGGGTTCTTCCTGGAGTCTGAACATTTGGCTCACCTGGGCTGAGGTCTGGGGCAAGCCCCATCCCTGGGGGCAGGAGCTGAGCCCCAACAGCCAGTTTGGGATGAGGCTGGAATTCTCAGCTGTTCTGGGGGTACCCCAGGCCCCACAGAGGCTCTGGGGCAGAAGGAAGGAGAAGAAAGAAGTCCTGGCCCAATTCCAACGTTGTTTTTAGGGGAGGGATCAACTCCTCAGGCCCTGCCTAAGCCAAGGGATGGCTGTGACACCCTGGCCAAGCTTCCATGTGTGTGGAAATCCAGGATCCCCAAAATGCCATGTTTCCCACAGCATCCCAGGCCTCTCCAGCTGTGTTCCCACCTGCTCATAGATGGTTTTCTTCAGCTCCAGCAGCTCCTGGAGCCCTTTGAGCTTCACCTCCAGTTCTGTTCGGTGCAAGGTGCTCACATCCAGATCCTGCACAGATGGAAAGAGATTCTTCAGTCCCTAACAGGATTTACAGCATGTCATTCCCACTGCTCCCCCTCCCCAGGGAGTGCCCTGCTTGCTCCATCCCTGGGAATGTTCCAGGACACGTTGGATGGGGCTTGGAGCACCCAGGACAGGGAAGGTGTCCCTGCCCATGGAGGGGTGGAACGGGATGAGCTCCTTCCTACCCAACCCACTCCCGGATTTATTAACAGGGACGTTTGGAACTGCTCTTCAGGTGGGAAGGCTCCTTTGAGGATCTTTGAGGAATTTTTCCCTTTGTTTTGTGGGATTTGTTGGTGGGAGGATCCACTGGGCCAGGCAGGGCTAGGCCATCCCCACACAGCTTTTGTTCCCCACAAAAGGCTCCACTTATTGAAAACTTGGAACAAGGAAGTGTCCAGGAATGTCTTTCCTGGCTGGGGAGTGTGCCAAGGAAAACATGGAATTAGCCAGGATGGATATTTGTGGGGAACATTCCCTTTCTCCCAACACATTTATCCTGCCCCCAAATTGGGGGTTTTGATATAAAATTCCAGTTCCAGCTGATTCTCACTGGCTCCTGCCAGAGTTCGAGCTTTGCCCGGGGTTTGCCCAGGGCGTGGCCCCTCCACAGGGAACAAAGCAAATCCTTTATCACTTCCAGCCTTTCCCAACCCTAATGGCACCTGGAGGGAACACAGGGAGGAGAGGGCAGCCTGGGAAGGGTTTGGACCCCTCAGGCCAGGGAAATCCCAGGATGCAGGGATGGGGATGCTCCAGGCCCCAGGTGCTGCCAGGGGATTTTCAGGAGCCATTCCAGACTCATCCTCCTGTGGAATTTGGACTCATCCCCTCCCTGTCCTCCTCCAGACCTTGTTATCCCAAACCAGTTGAGCCTGGACCATTTCCAGGCTCTTCCCTGACTGTGCAGGGCTGGGTAGAGCCAATCCAGTTGGAAACTTCCCGTCTTGCTGACCTTTTTCAGCTCCATGAAGGTGAATTCCATCCCGCTGCAGAGACGAATTTCATCCTCGTACCTGTGGAGTGCCCGAAGCATGGGATCAACCACAGGGAAACTCAGGGACTCTCAAGGTTGTCTTGAGACTCCCAAAGTATCCAAACTTTCTGCTTTTCCTGCAATGTCCCCCCTCCTTCAGGCATCGTGGGCAGGAGTGAGAAGCTGCCACATTCCAGCTGCCCTGGAACACCAGGAGCACTTCTGGGATGAAGAATCCCAGAGCAGAGAGGAGGGAGCCTTAATTGGGATTTCATTTGGGGGCTGTGCAGCCTCAGGTTCTTCACAAAGGGATAGGGGAATTGGGCTCTGCCCAAACTCCTCAATTTTCACCCCAAACCTTTTCTGTTCTGCTCAGGTTTCCTTGAAGTTTCACTTCCAGGGGCAGAGTCTTCCCAAGGGAGAAATCTTTGGCTTGTGAAAATTCTGGACTGGTGTCACAACCCAGCCCAGGTGATTTATGAAGGCACACATGCAAAAGAATTAATGGAAAACTGCCCGTGGAACGGAAGGGAATGAAACCACGATGGGGTGGAGTCCTAAGTGTCCCTTTGAGGAGCGAGCCCCACAGGTGTTCAAATCCAGATGGGATAAGGCAGGGCCAGGGAGCAAAGCCTCAGTCCAGGGGCAAATGGATATGAGTGGGAATTAGGGAATACACCAGCCCTTGTAAGCTCCTGGGTGTGGTGATCCCAAATCCCAGGGACCCGACCAGAAAAGCCTCAGGGTCCATTCTGGGCCCAGCAGTGCTTGGTCAGAGAGGAGAAGGATGGGATGGGGGTCAGTGCCTCCCACAGCAGCTGGACACGTTTGGGAGTGATGGATCAGAGCAGGCTGAGCTCTCAGGGAGGTCTTGGCTCCCCTGCTCTTCTGTCATTCCTCAGACTTGGCCTAAGGGGCACATGACATTCCATGGATTCAGGGAATCATTAAGGTTGGAAAAGCCCTTGGAAAGCATCGAGTCCAACTGTTCCCCCAGCACTGCCAGGGGAAGCTCTGACCATGTCCCCTTGTGCCGCATCCACACAGCTTTGGTGACTCCACCCCTGCCCTGAGCAGCTGTGCCACTGCCTGGACACCCTTCCAGTGAGGAATTTTTCCCAATATCCAACCAAACCTTCCCTGGCAGAGCTTGAGGCCATTTCCCTTGTCCTGTTCCCAGGCAGCAAAGCCTGACCCCCTGGCTGTCCCCTCCTGTCAGGCAGTTGTGCAGATCCAGAAAGCCCCTCCTGAGCCTCCTTCTCTCCAGGCTGAGCCCCCCAGCTCCCTCAGGAGTTCTCCAGACCTTTCCCTGGTGCTCCAGCCCTTCTCCAGCTCCATTCCAAACTCTGGACTCGCTCCAGCCCCTCAGGGACTTTCTTGGTGGAAGGGCCTCCAAAGTGACTCCCGTTTCCAGGCTGTGAACTCATCCTTTCAGTGCTGCTTGGACACAGCACCAAATGCACCTGGGGGAGGCTGAGACCTTTGGGAATGAGGAAAAATGGGATCTCCCAACAGACTGAGGGTAGGAACACCAGGAATGCGGCTGTGTGCCGATGTTTGGGGTCTGATGCATCCAGTCAGAAGGTTTTTGGGAGCCTTCCCTGCTGCGTACAAAGTGTGGAAATGGGGAGCTGTGCCTGGAGAAGGGGAGCAGATGTTGGAAAAGGGGGGAATCTGTGCTCAGGAGCTGACCTGGAATCCAAAGCAGCTCCCTGGAGCTGCAGCTCCTTCACCAAGGAGACTGTGAAGGCAGGGAGTGTGTGACACTCACAGCTTTAGGCACTCCTAGGGTTCCTCCTGTCTCCCTTGGTGCTGAACTCGCCCTTTTCTTCCCTGCTTTTCCAACGCTGGGCAGCAGCAGCTGATGGGATTTACCTGTTTGGTCTGTGCTCCTTACCCCAAATGTCAGCCCGAGAGGGACACTGACAGCCCGAGAGGGACACTGACAGCCCGAGAGGGACACTGACAGCCCGGCAGGGACACTGACAGCCCATCAGGGACACTGACAGCCCGAGAGGGACACTGACAGCCCATCAGGGACACTGACAGCCCGGCAGGGACACTGACAGCCCGGCAGGGACACTGACAGCCCGGCAGGGACACTGACAGCCCGAGAGGGACACTGACAGCCCGAGAGGGACACTGACAGCCCATCAGGGACACTGACAGCCCATCAGGGACACTGACAGCCCGGCAGGGACACTGACAGCCCGAGAGGGACACTGACAGCCCGGCAGGGACACTGACAGCCCGAGAGGGACACTGACAGCCCGAGAGGGACACTGACAGCCCATCAGGGACACTGACAGCCCGAGAGGGACACTGACAGCCCGGTTCTGCCAGGACCAAGCTGAATGCCTGTCTCCAGCCCTGCTTGCTGCTCCTCACAGCTCAGCCTGTGTGTCCCAGTGTCCCCAGTCTGTCCCAGTGTCCCCGGTCTGTCCCAGTGTCCCCGGTCTGTCCCTGCTCCTGGAGCACAGCCGGCCCAGCCGGCCCAACGCGCTCCTGCCACGCTCCCAGGACTGTGACTCAGCCGGGGCTGGAGCATTCCACAGGCACATCCCAGCGTTTATCTCCCGGGAGATAATCCCGGGGCACTGCAGGAGGGCAAATCCAGCCCTTCCTGCATTTAGCACACTTGAGATGGTGTCTGCTCGCCCCCGGCTCCTTCTCAGAGCAAAATCCAGGGAGCCGGATCTCAGACAGGCTTAGTGCCGCCCTCCTGGATGTGCCTGTCCCCTCTCCATCCATCCCTCCCTCTGGGAGCCATGGCAGCATCATTTGAGGAGAGGGTGGGAGTGTTCCAGTGAGTCCCTTCTAGGTGGGTTTGGGGAGCAGTCCCTGATTAATTCAGAGCCTTCTGGGGGGACTCCCCCATGCACATTTCCCATCCCGGAGGACTTGGGATGTTCCTGTGCCCATGGCATGTTTCATCCCAAATGCCACAGTCTGGCTGAGGGCATCACTCCAGTGGGAAATCCAACTGGTTCTTCATTTTTCCCCCCCCCAGAATCCTGTGGGAAAAGAAATCTCCTAGATTTGCCTGGTTTGTACAGAGATTTGTTGCAGAAATGCCCCTGGGCTGGGCCAGAGCTGGATGGGGCCTGGGAATTCTCCCCCTGTGAATCACTTCTGAGGGATGGAAGCATCCCAATTGTGCCATATCCCATTGTCCAAGTTACTGGAAAAGTCACAAGAAATCCAATGGGGAGAGCTCTCGGGCAGCCTGTTCCTGGGAGCACCTTCATCCCTAAGAAATTGGGTTAGAAAAGCCTCAAGTGCTGAGAGCTGGGAATTCCTGAAGCAATTTCTGAGTGCAGATCTGAGCACAGACTGTGGCTGCCCCATCTCTGGAAGTGTCCAAGGGCTTGGGACACCCTGGGATAGTGGAAGGTGTCCCTGCACATGGCAGGGTCCTTTCCCACACAAAGCAGTCTGTGATTCTGCTTCCTCAGGGGAGTGCAGGGAGGGCCAGGTGCTCCAGACAGGGATGGCAGGTCCTAACCTTTACACTATCCAAATAAAGAACAGGCAGGCACCTCCCATGAAGAATTTAGGACATTTTAGGCAGCTGAGTGTCACCTGAAGGACTCCAGGAGCGCAATTTCAGTGTAAGGTGAAGAATCAAATTACTGGTTCTTATTCCTGTCAAATTCCTCACAACATTCCCTGTCCTTGGCACTGCTGAGGGCCCTGGAATCCTGGGGTTTGAGTACCTCACAACAAGAAAGACCCTGAGGGGCTGGAGTGAGTCCAGAGATGGCAGTGAAGCTGGGGAAGGGCTGGAGTATGAGGGAAGGATCTGGAGAACTCCTGAGGGACCTGGGGGGGCTGAGCCTGGAGAAGAGGAGGTTCTGGGGGGACCTTCTGCCTTTCCACAACTCCTGGACAGGAGGGGGCAGCTAGGTGGGATTTAGGATCCATTCCCAGGGAGCAAGGGAAAAATGCCTTTAAGCTCCACCAGAGGAGGTTTAAGTTGAATATTCAGAAAAATTTCTGTGGAAAGGGTTGTCCAGCTGCCCAGGGAGTCCCCACCCCTGGAAGTGTCCAAAACTGTGTGTATGTGACACATGGGGACTTGGGGTCAGTAGTGACCACAGTGGTGGGGGGTTGATGGTTGGGCCTGATGACCTCTAAGGGCATTTCTAAGGGATTCCATGATTCCAACCTGCTCTGAGCTGATTAAGGCATTTCACTGCTGTGTCTCCCTTAGAAGGAGCTATCAGCCCTTCCCTAATTTGCAGCCACCTGGTGCAGGGCTTAAGGAGCTGGAGAATTCTTGGGCTGAACTCCTCAGAGAGAGCACGGATCGTTTGTGCCTCATCCCAGGAGTGGGTTTGGATGCCAGCAGGGATTTCTGCCCTGCCAGTCCCTCAGCACCACTTTGGGTTGGACAGACTCTGCACAGCCCAAATCCCCACAGGAGCCTCCAGAGCTCTGGGAAGGTGCTGGGTGTCATTGGGAGGGAAAGGAGCTCATCTGGGATTCTCCTGTGGGATGCAAATGAGCCCCATAATGACGGAGGCACTGTCTGCTCCATGACCGGGCATGGCCCAGCTGCTCTCTCTTAACTGCACATCTCAGAGTTCTCCAGAGATAAGAGGAGCTCCCCAGAGATAAGAGGCAGTTGCACCTCCCCTGACCTTTGGCTCTCTCCCTATTCTTGGTCAGGACCATTTGGGGCACAATTTTGACCTTTTGGTCAAAGCAGTTTGGCAAAAATGCTTTGGGTGAAGGGGGAAAGGAAGAGATCCCATAATCATGGAATAGAATATTCCTTCTTTAGGCAGGAAATCCTCCCTGTGAAAGTGGTGAGGGCCTGGAATAGATTTCCCTGTGGCTTCCCCATCCCTGGAAGTGTCCAAGGCCAGGTTGGACAGGACTTGGAGCAGCCTGGGACAGTGGGAGGTGTCCCTGCCCATGGCAGGGGTGCAATGGGTGTCTGTGAGCCCCAGAGAGGAAAAAGCTCCAGGAAGAACTTGGAGCCCCTTCCAGTGTCTAAAGGGACTCCAGGGGAGCTGAAGAGGAACTTGGGATAAGGGATGGAGGGAGAGGACAAGGGGGAATGGCTTCCCACTACCAGAGGGCAGGGATAGGTGGGATATTGGGAAGGAATTCCTGGCTGTGAGGCTGGTAAGGCTCTGGAATGGATTTCCCTGTGGCTGCCCCATCCCTGGAAGTGTCCAAGGTTGAACAGGGCTTGGAGTGGAAGGTGTCCCTGCCCATGGCAAAGGTGGCACTGGATGATACTAAAGATCCCTCCTAACCCATTCTGTGATGATGAATATCCTGAGTTGGAAGACACCCACAGGGATCATCAAATCCAACTCCTTGGTCCTGCCCACAACACCCCACAATTCCCACCATGTAGCCAGGAGTGTTTTGTTTTGTACTGAGCAGCCAGAAATCACCTTGGGGACAAAGTTCTGGTTTGAGATAATTTTGTGGAGAATAAACATTCCCCTCTTTTCTTGGCTCCCATTCCAGCAATGCCATTCCCTGAGCTGTTCTCCAGCAGAGGCTCCTCAGACCCTTCTCTCCTTGGAATTTCATTATCACGGCTTTCCTTTCATCTCTCGTTAACCAGGAAGATGTTGTAATCCTAAATCCTCAAATCCACACTTCTATGCACACCAAAGTAGAAATATTTTCCTGGGAATCTCAGGCTGGCTGAGTGAAATCAATCCCTCCCTGTGCCCCAGCTGGATTCCCCTGGGTATGGATAGGGGTGGATATGGACAGCGATACCTACTTGCTCCGGAAGGTGTCCATGGTGCTCAGGACCTTTGCCAGCTCAGACTCCAGGTTTTCCTGCTCGTAGTTGAGCGCCTTCATCTCCTGGTTCATTTTGCTCATGTACTGCTCATAGATGGCCTTGATGTCCGAGTCAGAGTGGGAATTGTCCTGGTCCTTCAGGAAGTTCCACCTGGTCGTCAGGATCTTGTTCTGCTGCTCCAAGCTCTGGACCTATGGGAGAGGTTTCAGAGGTATCAGTGGCACTGAGAGCCATAATCAAAGCATGGCAGGGCAGGAGGTGTTGGAGACCTTCAGAGGAGCTGCTACAATCAACAGATATCCAGGGAAGAATGAGAAATCTGTTCAAAATTAGGCCTGAGGATGGAGGGTTATGGAATCATGGAATGGTTTGGATTGGAAGGGACTTTAAAGATCAGCCAGGTGCACCCCCTGACATGGGCAGGGTCACGTCCCTCTTTTAAGGGACTTTTAGGAGTTTTACAAGTTACCTACTAATTCATTTCTCAATAGAACACGATGACCTCAAAATAAACACAGTGACAGTGGAATAAACACGGTGACATTGGAATAAACATGTTCACATTGGGATAAACACAGTGACATCAGGATAAAGGAGTCACTGACAGTAAGATTGGTCAGTTCTGTCCCCTTTGCACATGACTCCTGGGAACACCTCCAGGATCACCAGATCCAGGTGTTAAGTCCAACATGGTGAAACTCACCATGTTGGACTCAACATGGACTCAACCTGGCGTATCCACCCCAGGGCACACAAGGATGTCCAGGGTCAGCAAAGGGCAGATTTCCTACCCCAGAGAGCACAAAGTCAGGGAACCCTCTGGACTGCGAGGAATTACAGTATGGAGACGTTCAGGGAATGAATCAGGTTTATTCCAGAGCAGCTCAGACAAAGCTCTGGAGAACATCCCAGATAATTACAGACTCCAGGTGAGCATCCTGTGCTGGCTCTGAGAGGACAACGCTGCCCTTCCACTGCCCGCCTTTGAGGAACCTGCTCCTCTTTCCCAATATTCCCAATCTCACCAGTAATGCTCCAAGTTTAACAGTTCTCGTCTTCAAAGCTCTTGGCCAACTCCAATTAATTAGCTAATTGCTACCTCTGGGAGCAACCCCAGTCACGTTTTGGCTGGAGATGCCAGAGTTACCTCCAAGTTTCTGCTGTTGCATCCTGAGATGACTCAGGGCCAATGCCGTGCCTGGGGCACTGGGGGCACTGGGAGCACTGGGGGCAGGAGCCATCAGACCGCCAGCCTTGGCCTGGGGTCCAAAGGAGAGGCAGAATTCCAGCTGCCAACTCAGATGTGGCACCATCTTTCTCCAAATCCTTCTTGTCTGAACAGAGGGAGCAGCCAAGCAAAGCAAAACCATTCCAGTGCCTCATCCTTTCTTGAATGGGAATGGGTTGTGCTGGCTGTTGTTCCAAGTCCATCTTTGACCTTTAATTAATTCCTGACCTCCTTTCTAATCCTCAGCTGCTCCTTTTCATCCCCCCTCACATTCCTGTTTGCAAACCAACACTGGGCTGAACTGTTCCATCTTGGCTTCTAACATCTGCTTGGAACTGGATGATCTTTAAGGTCTCTCCCTCCTGAGACCATTCACCGATTTCAAGACTCCTGCAAAGTCCTCCTCAGTGGAAATAATCCCTTGCAGAGCCTTTCAGCAGGAACTTTGCAGAGGGATCACCCAGATTTGGCCCCATTCCCTGGAATTTCATGCCTGAACACAGAAGTAGCCAAAGTTTGGTCCTCACAGTCCTATCCCCTCTGGGCTCTTGGGATAAAGGCAGGGCCTCAGACAGGGGCTCCAGGGCTTGGCTTTTCCCTGTCTTCTTTTCCATCTGGAGAATAAATGCCAACAGATCTGGAACAGCTGGAAAACCACCAGCACCAAACTCCTGTAGCTGTGTGGTCAATTATCCCTGGAATCACCTGCTAGGGATTGAGATCACCTGAATCCCTGATTAAAAAGCCAAGCTCTCTTTAACAGGGAAGTGTCCTTCCCTTCCTCTGGAATGAGGGCCTGGGGCAAGTGCCTGAAGTTGCCACTTGATGCAGCTCTTGAAGCCTTCAAAAGAGCTCAGGAGCTGCAGTCAGAGACCTCAGCCCAGGGGCTGTTTGTGTCCCTGAGTCCCCAGCCCAGGGGGTGTCCCTGTGGATCAGGAGGTTGTTTGGTTTGGTTTGTTGGGAAACCTGGAACTCTCAGTTCTTCCCTCCCTGGTGTCAGGGCCTGGCTCAGGCACATGGGGTTTTGTCCCTTTCCCCTACTCCTATCCCTGCTCTGAGGGGCCCAGCAAACCCCAGCCTCTCCACCTGGACAGTCCCAATTCCAGCTTCCACTGTGTGGGTGTTCCCCACATCAGGTGTTCTCCAAATTCCCAATGCCACGCTCTTGGAAAGGCTCATAGGAGGAGGCTGTGCCCATCCATAAGAGCCAGGGCCCTGCTGGCACTGCCAGATGTGACTTGTCACTACTGTCCCCTTGGAGAGATCCATTGGAAATGTTCCCATGACCTTCTCCTTCCCAGTGTGAATTCAAGTCCTCAGAGAGTTAAAATTAATCAATCCCAGGCTGCTGGAGGTTGGCAGGGACAGCTGCATGAAGCAATCCCAGAGATTACATCTGTTTATGGAGCAGGGCTCTGCAGGAACCTGCCTGCCTGGGAGTTGTTTTCCTTGGAGAAACTTCTGTTTCTCCTGTCTCTGCAGAGATGAAAGCAACACTTTCTTGGCCCCTCTCCGCAGAAGCTCAGAGGCAGTGGGTGGGGGGTCCCCCTGGCCCTCTGTGCTGCCAACGTGGAGGTGGGGATGAATTTCCAGGGAAGAGTTTCCAGCTCTCTTTAGCGCTGGAATTGGAGCTGTCACCATAATCGGCGTCACTGCCCGTGGCTGCTTGGTCACTCCTGTCCATGGTCACTCCCGTCCATGGTCACTCCCGTCCATGGTCACTCCCGTCCATGGTCACTCCCGCCCATGGTGCCCCAGGAGCTCCCCGGGTGACGGGCACAGCCCCCGCACGCATCTCCCCCAGGGATGCTCCTTAACCCTCGCTCGACAGAGAGCTCGGAAGGAATAACTAATTGGGTAATTAGCAGGATGTTCCCAGCCTCGCTGGGCGTGGCTGCAGGCCCCGGTGGGTCCCCGAAAGCCCGGGCAGTGCCTGCGCCCCCTGCCCACCCCCAGCCAGGAGCTGTCCCTACCTTCTCGATCAGGGTCACGAACTGGTTGTTGAGCACTTTGATGTCCTCCTTCTCCTGCTGCCGCACGGCCTGGAAGTCGGTGTCGATGTCCAGGCGCACGGGGCCCGGGAGCCTCCCGTCCCCGGAGAAGGGCGAGCGGGACAGGCAGCGGAGGC